TGGCCTGGGAGATGCCAACTACAGCCCGGAGCTCCTGGCAAAGGCTAAGGCGTGGCTCGTGAAGTACGGCTTGGGCTTCACTATCCTGATTGCTGTCGTGTGGCCCGTCCTCTCGCTCCCAGCCGGCGTTTTCACCAAGGACTATTGGATCTTCTGGGTCTTCGTCAGCATCAGCTGGGCTTTCATCGCCACTGTTACCATCATCTTCCTTCCGCTGTACGAGTCCAGGGGGTCCATTCTCGGCGTCTTCATGTTCATGTTGTGCCTGAAGAAGGCGGAGAAAGCGGAGCCCGCGAAGAGCGAGGAGGCACATCAGCTGGCACGCAGCGAGGGTGGCCTTGAGAGGGGGGGGCGGCGATGGTCTCTTACCCGCGCTGGGCTCGGCCAGGCCACCCTGGGTCAAGGACTGGTCTGCGTGCTCTGAAGGCTACGAAGGACGCCTCCTCCTCCTGCCTACAGCCAAGACGCTGAAACAAGAACCGCTCTGGGTCCTCAAGGGGCTCGCTGATCCTTCGATCATTCCGTGTGGTTGTTCCCTTTGCTCTCCTTGTACACCAAGGTTCGTCTGGTGCCACAACGGGGCTTCGTTGCCTATTCTTGGCATCGCTCGGGCGTGTGCGTTTTTTTCTCGACGAGGACCATCGAGAAGCATCTTGGATCACCTTGCGAACAAATGCACGCACGAAGCCGAAATATGCACGTGGAATGGGACGGCCGAGCGATAGCAAGTATTCAGCGTTCCTTATTTCAGCAGCCCGACTGCCTGCCTCTTCCCCCCGTCCTGGGCCCGGGTTGGGCCTGGCCAGGCCCGGTGGCGCGAGGGTGTGTGGCCGGCGCTCCCCCCACAGGCGGGCGCGCAGCAGGCGGAGGCGAGGGCGTCGCGTCGGGGCACGCCCTCGCCAGCCAGTCGCGAGGTGCACCTTCGCCTGCTGCCCATGGCCAGGAGCCAGCCACGCTTCAGCCAGCACGCCGCGAGGCGCGCGCTCCTCCAGGGCCTGAGTCCCCTGCCCCCCTCGTCCTCCTCGCTCTGGCCCTGTCTGATAGTTTCAAAGCCTCAGAGCACTTGGCGGTTCCTGGAGAAAGGTGTCGGGTGTTGTGGATCCCCTGCGCATGGAGGGGTACATCCCCCGGCTCCCCTCCGCTTGAGACCCTCGCCGCCCTGGAGTCCGGCGCCAACGATGGCGTCCGCCAAAGAACGGCGCAGGCGCACGCTGACGCTGTCGGTCGGTAAGGGCTCCCCACTAAAGCAGAAGGTTCATCTACAGAGGCAGCGGGCCACCTGGTGGCCCGCGGGGTGTCTGGTCAGCATATGGCGCAACCCATGGCACATCCACTGAGGCAACGGAAGATTTGGTTGCCCGCGGGGTGTTCTGCATAACCCATGGCGCAACCGATGCCGCACCCAGTGATGCATCGGAAGAGAAGCTTACTCGCGGGTTGTTTGACTCAATCTGTGGCACACTCACTGAGGCAACGGACGATTTGGTTTCCCGCGGGGCAACCTCTGGCGCAACCCATGGCGTAACTGTTGGCACCCGCACTCAGGCAGCGGGCGATTTGGCTGCCCGCGGGTTGTCTGGCGCAGCCTGTGGCGCAACCTCCAGCACACCCACTGAGGCGACGGACGATTCGGTTGCCCGCGGAGTGTTTGGCACAACCCACGGCGCAACCTCTGGCACAACTGTTGAGTCCGCGGACGAGTCATTGGCTTATGCCGCACCGCCCGCCGTGTGGGAGCCCTGTTCGTCTGAGAAGCCCCAAACCGTGCTCAGAAGGGGCCCTCTTGGCTCTTGGGGGTCTCCTTGGGGCCGCTGGGGGCCTTTTGGAGGCATCTTTAGGGGCCTCTAGGCGGCCTCTTGGGGGCCTCTTGGGGGCCTTTTAGGGCCCGGGGGAGTGCAGTCAACCCGCATAGTAAGGATGGGCGACCTTCCCAAGGGTAACCTTGCATCCTTGTCTCCTCGGTCCATCCTTGGCCGCGCCCCGCTTGAAAAGCTTCGAAACGGCCTTCCAAGGCCCTGGCACCCTTATCGTGCGTCCTTATGGTACGGGTCGGCTGTGCTCCCGGGGCCCCTTCGAGTTCGCCCTCCTGGGGTCTCCCCAGTGGTGGCGGCTCCATGCCCCCCTCTCCGCCCCGAGCGGCGGGCGTCGGCGGCGTCGTCGTCGTTGGGAGAGGAGGGGGGAGGGGGGAGGGGGGAGGAGGAGAAGGGGGAGGGAGGTAGCCATCGAGGGCCCACCGTCTTTTGCTTCACCTTTTGCGCCTGTCGTTTTCCAGCCGCGTCAGCCAGGCCTAATTTGCTGTTGCGGGCCTAAGTCGGCCTTTTATGTTTTCCAGACGCGCACGCTTCAGGCTCGGTCACTTAGTTCGCGCAACATCAGGAAAGGTGGAGGGAGGAGCATGAGGCGGCGGCGGCAGCGGCGGCGGAGACACTCCTAAATCATGCCAGGACACCATTTCAAGGACTTGAGCACCCGGAGTCAACGTGAGTGTTGCGTCCTGCCAGTCCTACACCGTGCCAGAAGGCAACTTCTGGGACTTCCGCTTTGCGAATCCTTGGAACGGCCACAAGCATTGAAGAGAAAGGTGCTCGGCCCTAAGGCGAGTTCCACATTTTGAAAAAGAGCCGGCCTCCATCCTCGGAGCGGTTGCAAACTTTGAGCCGAATGTACGCGGCGTTGAGGCGATAACCACATTAAGAAAACGGCACGACCTCAATCTTTGAAGATGTTGCAACTTCCAAGTTTGAGGTTCATCGATGGTGAAAATGTTTCAGTCGAACCGCCCAGCCCAGCCTACATACGCGTCTAGGGGCGCGACAGGGAGGAGTTATCGATAAGCAAAAGGGGTTGAAGAGGCGGAGGCGGAGGAAGAGGAGGATGAGGATGAGAAGGATGAGGAGGAGGAAGAGGAGGAGGAGGAGGAGGAGGAGGAGGAGAGGGAGTAGGACGAGCTAGTTACGCTCGTGGCATATCATGGCATATCTGACATCCTATCCCTCCCTTCCGTCACCCCCCGTGCTTTTCCACTATATGGATTTCGCTCCATTCACGGACTCATGGGAAAACTGGAGCTACGTACATCGGAGGGGGATGATGATGATGGTGATGCTGATGATGATGATGATCATGATGATGAGGATGATGATGATGCTGATGATGCCGATGATGATGGTGATGATCATGCGGATGAGGATGATGATGATGTTGATGATGCTGATGATGATGATGGTGATGCTAGTGATTATGATGATGCATCTGATGATGCTGATTATGATTATGATGATGATAATGATGATGATGATGATGATGATGATGATGATGATGATGATGATGATGAATACGATGATGATGAAGAAGATGGTGAGGATGCTGATGATGGTGATGCTGATGATGATGGTGATGATGATGATGATGATGATGATGATGATGATGATGATGATGATGATGATGATGATATGTATTAGGATGATGGTGATGATGATGATGATGAGGAGGAGGAGGAGGAGGAAGAGGAGGACAGGAGGAGCAGGAGGACCAGCAGGAGGATAAGGACCAGGATGAGGAGGGAGGAGATGAGGATGAACAGCAGCAGCAAGAGGAATTGGAGTGGAAGGAATGGGAGGAGCAGGAGGACTACGGGAAGGCGCATGAGGGGAAATATATAGTGGTACCCGACGATGAAAAGTGGCCCGGTCCAGAAAAGTGGCCCGCGCTGGTGCGAGAGCGCCGTTCTGAACGATGGGAACACAGCGCCGATCCGGAAATGAGGCCCACGCTGCAGCGGGCACACCATTTTGAAACACCGAAGATATTCGGATTGCACACACGCACCAGAGATAAAAAACAATTCGGCTCAATCTTGCGTGTGAAATACGATGCACGGAGGGGCCCGAGGATCTTCTGGACGGGGTCAAGGAAGAGAGGGGAGTAGTATTCATATTGTGCATTTGTAGAGGAAGAGGAGGGATTAGGTGGAGGCCGATGAACACCCAAGGTGTCGTCGAATTTTGCTGCCCGCGGTCTGTTGGCGCAACCTGTTCTCTGGCACACCCACTGAGGCAACGGACGATTTGGTTGCCCGCAGAGCGTCTGGCGCAACCCATGGCGAGGCCTTCGGCGCAGCCGCCGAGGCAGCGGGCGATTTGGTTGCCCGCGTGGTGTCTGGCGCAACCACAGAAGTTTTCGCTTAGACAACGGGCGATTTAAATGCCCGCGGTCTGTCTGGCGCAACTTGTGGCGCAACCTGTGGCGCAACTTTGGCCCCGACCAATGAGTCGACGGACGATTCGATTGCCCGCGGACTGTCTGGTGCAACGCATGGCGCAACCTCTGGCACATCCGCTGAAGCAACGGACGAGTTGGTTGCCTGCGGCCCCCCTACGTACTCCCCCCATGCCAAGGCGGATTTGGGTCACACTGCAGCTTCCCCAGAGCAGCAACGCGCAGCTCCCTCTGAGCAGCACCGCGCAGCTTTCCCCGAGCAGCAGGCGCCTCGGGAGCAGCACCGCGCAGCTCCCTCTGAGCAGTACCGCGCAGCTCTCATGGGGCAGCAGGCGCCGCTTAGGCGCATCACCACCGCTCACCTCAACAGGAGCAGCACCGCTGACATTAAGACACTGCTCCAGGGGCAGCTGGAGGAGCTGGGCGAGATCTCGTCGCTGGTCGGCCGCGAGGGTGGCTCTGGCGGGAAGGGCGGGGGGGGCGGAGGTCTCCTGCCTGCGCTGGGCCTGGCCATGCCACCCCGGGACAAGGACTGGTCTGCATGCCCTCCGGGCCACGCTGGGCGGCTCCTCCTCTGCCTCCTTCTCCCCGTCCTTGGTCAGTGGCGGGCCTGGCCAGGCCTGGTGGCATGAGGGTGTGTGGCCGGCGCTCCCCGAGGCGGGTGCGCAACAGGCGGGGGCGATGGCGTCGCGTCGGGGCACGCCCTCGGCATCCAGCCGTTCGGTGCACCTTGGCCTGCTGCCCCTGGCCAGGAGTCGGCTTCGCTAAAGCCAGCACGTAACGGGAAGCGCACTTCGCCAGGGCCTGTGCTCCCTGCCCCGCCCTCGGCTATACGCAAGAGCGACCCTGGGTTAGAGTGACCTTTGGTGCGCGGCTTTTTGGGGGCCGCGAGGGGACCAAATCTGGGCGCGCAACAAGTTGCTACTGCTTCGTTTTCAGCCATCGGGGGACCCATCTGTGCCCGCACCAAAGGTCACTCCTGCGAAAGGTCACTCTTACGTCTAGTCGACTCCCGTCCTCCTTCCATTCCTCTTTTGAAACTAACCTTCTGGGCTCTACCTGATATTTCCAACGGGTTTCCAGGGCACTTGATGATTTCGGGAAAAGGTGTAAGGTGTCGGGTAATGTGGAGCGGGAGCGCATGGAGGGTTGCACCTTCCCGGCTCCTCCCTCTGCAGGCGCATGCTGACGCCGTCGGTCTGTCAGCGCAGCGCTCACCAGAGTCCTGTGTCGCCTCTGGCTGGCTGCCGCAGGGCGAGCGGTCCGTGGGCAGCGCCGACGACGACTTCATGCAGAGGTTCAGATTGCGGGTTTTGACCCTGGCCCTCGCTACCCAGCCATACTCCGCCACAAAGATCTACACACAGACACCCTCCAGTGGGGCCTCAGTGGAGGCTGGCGGTGTATAAATCACCACTGAGAGCCAGCGACTTTATACATCGCCACCATCCCTGACGGTACAGGCAAATTCGTCGGCGGGTGTCTGTGTATATCGAAGACGCTTACGGCGAATCACCGCCGCCCCCTGGCCAAGCTATCGAGCCACGCGATCCCCGAGTGGGTTTCGAAAGCCTTCGGGGAACACCGAGTCGGGCGAGCTATCAGACCAGGTGGTTTCCGAGCTTTCGGGTCTCCTGGAGGACGTCTTGGAGGGGTCTTGGGCCGTCTTGGAGGCCTCTTGCGGGCCTATAGGGCCGTCGAAGGTCATCTTCAGGCCATCAGGGGCCGTCTTGGAGGCATCTTGGAGGCAATCTTGGCCGTCTTGGAGGCCATCTTGGGCGTCTTGAGGGCCATCTCGGGCCGTCTTGGGGCCTTGTTGGGGCCCTCTTGGGGGCCTCTTGGGCTGTCATGGGGCCACCTTGGAGGCCTCGTGGGCGCTCTTGGGACGATGTTTGGGGGCCGCTTGGGCCGCCTTGGGCCGTCGGAGAGCTGAAAAGGAGCAAAAGCCAAAATCCGTCAAAAACTATAGGACAATCAATGATTTGGGGGCCCTTTTCGGGCCTTCCTGGAGGACGTCTTGGAGGGCTCTTGGGCCGTCTTGGAGGCCTCTTTCGGGCCTATAGGGCCGTCCGTCTTAGACCATCTTGACACCACCTTTGGCCGTCTTGGGTGCATCTTCGGGCCATCTTGGCTGTCTTGAAGGCCATCTTTGGCGTCTTGGACGCATCTTGGAGGCCATCTTGGCCGTCTTGGAGGCTATCTTGGGCGTCTTGGGGCCTCCTGGGCCGTCTTCGGACCTTGTTGGGGCCCTCTTGGGGGACTCTTGGGCTGTCATGGGGCCATCTTGGAGGCCTCTTGATCGCTTTTGGGTTGATGTTGGGGGCCGGTTGGGCCGTCTTTGGCCGTCGGAGAGCTGAAAAGGAGCAAAAGCCAAAATCCGTCAAAACCATAGGACAATCAATGATTTGAACCTTGCCAGGCCTTCCTGGAGGACGTCTTGGAGGGCTCTTGGGCCGTCTTGGAGGCCTCTTGCGGGCCTATAGGGCCGTCTTAGGCCATCTTGAGGCCATCAGGGGCCGCTTGGGTGCATCTTCGGGCCATCTTGGCCGCCTTGGAGGCTATCTTGGACGTCTTGGAGGCATCTTGGAGGCCATCATGGCAATCTTGGAGGCCATGTGGGGCTTCTTGGGGGCCTCTTGGGCCGTCTTGGGACCTCCTTGGGGCCGTCTTGGGGGCCCCTTGGGCCGTCCTGGGGCCATCTTGGAGGCTTCCTGGGCACTCTAGGGGCGATCTTGATGGCCTCTTGAGCAGTCTTGGGCCGTCGGAACGCCGAAAAGGAGCAGGAGCCCAAATCCTTCAAAAGACATAAGGACAATCAATGATTTTGACCTCTTCGGGCCGTCCTTGAGGACCCTGGAGGACCTCTTCGAGGCCTCTTGGGTCGTCTTGGAGGCCTCTTGGAGGCCTCTGGGGCCGTCTTGGGCCGTCTTAGGTGTTTCTTGTGTGAACTTGGAGGCATCCTTGACTCTCTTGGGCCGTCTTCGAGGCCATCTTGGGCGAACTTTGAGGTCATCTTGGCCATCTTGGAGGCCATCTTGGAGCCGTCTGAAGCCGAAAAACCCATTGCGGCCACCTTTTGCGCACCCTTCCGGGTGGCCGACGGGACGGGTCGAAGATCCAGGGGTAGTTTTTGGGGAAAAGAACCAAAACCATGGGGGAATTGCCCCCTTGGGGGGAGAAAAAAAAAGAGCGACAGGGTTCAGCACGCCGGGCACCCCCGTCATGAATCAACAGGGGGCGGCGGATCGAAGACGCCTACGGCGAATCACCGCCGCCCCCTGCCTTTGCGGAAGCGCCTATGTGGCCGAACGTTGAGACCAGACCTGCCAAGCTATCGGACCATGTGTTCCCCGACTCGGTTTGGAAAGCCTTCGGGGAACACGTGGGCATCTTGAAGGTCATCTTGGCCGCCTGGAGGTCATTTTGACTCTTTCGGGCCTTCTTGGAGGACGTCTTGGAGAGCTCGTGGGCCGTCTTGGAGGCCATCTTGAGCGTCTTAGAGGCCTCTTGGGCCGTCTTGGGGGCCTCTTGGGGCCGTCTTGGGCGCCTCTTGGGCCATTCTGGGGCTATCTTGGAGGCCGCTTGGACGATCCTTGGGCGATCTTTGGAAGCTCTTGGGCCGTATCGGGCCGTCGGAAGGCCGAAACGAAGCAAATGTCAAAATCTTTATATATATATATATATATATATATATATATATATAAACATAGGAAGATCACTCTTTTTCCCAACCATCCTGTGGTGTTGGGTCCTCGTTTTAAAGAGACGGTGCCCCGCGTCTCCTCCCGCTGCCCCCTCCTCCTCCCCCTCCTCCCTCCTCCTTGCGTTTCACCCACCCAGTACAGCGTTTCGTGGCCCCATAGGGAGCTCCACCGAAGGCCCCAGTGGCAGGGTTCGCATGGCGGCCCCGCGTTTTGGCGCTCCCCTCACACGGTTCGTAGCCCCATAGGGAGCTCCACCGAAAGGCCCCGGTGGCAGGGTTCGCATGGCGGCCCCGCACCGTTTTGGCGCACCCCTCACACGGTTCGTGGCCCCATAGGGGGTTCCACCGAACGCCCCAGTGGCAGGGTTCGCATGGGGCCCCGCGCCCTTTTGGAGCACCCCTCACACGGTTCGTGGCCCCATAGGGAGCTCCACCGAAGGCCCAGTGGCAGGGTTCGCATGGCGGCCCCGCGCCATTTTGGCGCACCCCTCACACGGTTCGTGGCGCCATAGGGAGCTCCACCGAAGGCGCCAGTGGCAGGGTTCGCATGGCGGCCCCCCTCCATTTTGGCGCACCCCTCACACGGTTCGTGGCCCCATAGGGAGCTCCACCGAAGGCCCCAGTGGCAAGGTTCGCATGGCGGCCCCGCGCCATTTGGCGCACCCTTTTTTTTTTCTGTTTTTTTTTTTTTTTTTTTTTTCACACGGTTCGTGGCCCCATAAGGAGCTACACCCGAGGCCCCCCAGGGGCAGGGTTCGCGCGGCGGCCCGCGCCAGTTGCGGTGCACCCCTACCACGGTTCCGTCTGCCCCCATAGGGAGCTCCACCGAAGGCCCCAGTGGCAGGGTTCGCATGGCGGCCCCGCGCCATTTTGGCGCACCCCTCGCACGGTTTGTGGCCCCTAGGGGGCTCCACCGAAGGCCCCAGGGGCAGGGTTCGCATGGCGGCCCTGCGCCAGTTTGGTGCACCCCTCACACGGTTCGTGGCCCCATAGGGAGTTCCACCGAAAGCCCCACTGGCAGGGTTCGCATGGCGGCCCCGCACCATGTTGGGGCACCCCTCACACGGTTCGTGGCCCCATAGGGAGTTCCACCGAACGCCCCAGTAGCAGGGTTCGCACGGCGGCCCCGCGCCAGTTTGGTGCACCCCTCACACGGTTCGTGGCCCCATAGGGAGCTCCACCGAAGGCCCCAGAGACAGGGTTCGCATGGCGGCCCCGCACCATTTTGGCGCACCCCTCACGCGGTTCGTGGCTCCATAGGGAGCTCCACCGAAGGCCCCAGTGGCAGGGTTCGCATGGCGGCCCCGCGCCAGTTTGGTGCACCCCTCACACGGTTCGTGGCCCCATGAGGAATTACATTTGCTTCGTTCCACCTGCCCTGCGGTTTTCACACTTCTGTTGTTTTTTTTCTTTTTTCTTTTTTTTCTTTTTTTTTTGTTTTTTTTTTTTTTTTTTTTGTTTTCGCTTGTCTTTTTTTTATATTTTTTTGTCCTCTTTTTTTTGCGTATTGTTGGGTCTGCGCCTTGGATAATTACCAACAATCCCTGTGGTGTTGGGTCCTCGTTTTGAAAGAGCCCTCCCCCGCGTTATTCCTCCTCCTCCCGCCTTTCCTCCTCCTTCCTGCCTCCCCCTTTTTTTTCCCCCTTCCCACACCCATTTCTGGCACCACCCCTTCACCCGCTTCGTGGCACCATAGGGACGAACAACGAAAGGCCCACCAGTGGAGCCGCACGCATGCGGTTCACCCACCATTTCGGCACACCCCTCACACGCTTCGTGGCACCATAGGGAGCTCCACCGAAGGCCCCAGTGGCTGCGCCCGCATGCGGTTCCACCCCCCATTCTGGCACACCCCTCACACGTTTCGTGGCCCCATAGGGAGCTCCACCGAAGGCCCCAGTGGCTGCGCCCGCATGCGGTTCCACCCCCCATTCTGGCACACCCCTCACACGTTTCGTGGCCCCATAGGGAGCTCCACCGAAGGCCCCAGTGGCTGCGCCCGCATGCGGTTCCACCACCCATTCTGGCACACCCCTCACACGTTTCGTGGCCCCATAGGGAGCTCCACCGAAGGACCCAGTGGCTGCGCCCGCATGCGGTTCCACCCCCCATTCTGGCACACCCCTCACACGTTTCGTGGCCCCATAGGGAGCTCCACCGAAGGCCCCAGTGGCTGCGCCCGCATGCGGGTTCCACCCCCCATTCTCGCACACCCCTCACGTTTCGTGGCCCCATAGGGAGCTCCACCGAACGCCCCAGTGGCTGCGCTCGCATGCGGTTCCCATACACCCCATTCTGGCCACACCCCTCACACGCTTCGTGCACCATAGGGGAGCTCCCACCGAAGGCCCCAGTGGCTGCGCCCGCATGCGGTTCCACCCACCATTCTGGCACACCCCTCACACGTTTCGTGGCCCCATAGGGAGCTCCACCGAAGGCCCCAGTGGCTGCGCCCGCATGCGGTCCCCCCCCTCCATTCTGGCACACCCCTCACACGTTTCGTGGCCCCATAGGGAGCTCCACCGAAGGCCCCAGTGGCTGCGCCCGCATGCGGTTCCACCCCCCATTCTGGCACACCCCTCACACGTTTCGTG